AGGCAATTTTTTTAAAGGTGCTTGTACACGTGTAAAATAGGGTTTTCAAAGGCATTGCCTATTATCCTCACCAAATAAACTGAAATTAAACTGAAATACGACGAATTCGGGGCATTGTTCAGCAATCCACAATTTCAAAAAAATAAGAGCGAAGAACGGCTTCTCTCAAGAATAAATAGTTAGCTTGATAGAATGCAGTGAGATAGGACCGTGGTGTTGATGAGAACGTCTGAGGGTTGGGAACGCTCCTTGTTGTGGGAGATATCATATAACAGCCGGACCAACTGTTCACAACCATCAGGGAGGTGAGACAGGAGGAGCTACTCGCTGACAGCAGGGTCGAAACTAAGAGGGGTCTGTAGAGATCACAAGAGCATCACCGAAAGGCCGGAGATGTGACGTTGTCGACGTAGGGAAATAATTATTTGGGAAAAAATACAGAATTTTTATTCGTTCTCATCTAGGCGTGACGTCCGTGGTTGCAAATACTACAATCTACTGAAGAGAGTCCAAAAAGGTCGAAAAAATCGTGAAGGGTGTACATTCCATAAATTGTGAATGCAGACATGAGCCATTTAACCTTTTCCCTCTTGAGCGCAGGCAGATAAGAGGTGATCTCGTACAGAAATCCCGGCTGGTTAGAAATCGGGTCTGTGCTCTGCAGTTTGATGACATCTTCGTATTTGCCACATCAACTTACCTATGCGAAAGTTTCCTCAAACACTGAGGAACCTTATCCCATTGGGCTGCTCGCAGTCACTCGTTTTCACAGCGAGTCATCTAAGCAAAGAAAAGACTGCCCGAGTAGGTCATATCGGCGGACACGATAGACGCATTTTAACATAATCTTGATGTTTATATTTAATTAACGGATACCACTAATCTGCACAGGAATGCATTGTAAGAACATACCAACACTTTGCTCACACTTATAAATGCAGTTCAGTTCAGGAGCGTCATACCATCAACTCAATGTACCAAAACTGCAAAGAGGGCTGTGAGCATCCTAGGCGCGATCAGAAGATCCTTTCTTGGTATTGGCGCGAAGATTTTTGTAGCATTTGTCCGGCCGATGTTAGAATATTGTGTTCAGGCGTGGTGCCCCAGGATTATACAAGTTTATCCGGGTCTGGACAAAGTTCAACGAATGGCGACCAAACCAGTCAGCAGCTTGGAAGGCCTATCATATGAGGGTCGATTAGAAGGACTCAAACTTTCTCTCTCTCTTATAGGTAGTATAGAAGAAATATGGTCATGGCCTTCAAGCTTGCCAGGAACGTAGACTGTGCACTCCAGGTAGCAGATTTTATGGAATTATCGAAAACGACATCTCCGAGGTCATTAATGCAAACTGAAAAATCCATGCCACATTAGAATTGCGGGCCATTTTCTTTTCTCACCGGGTCATTGAAAACTGGAACAAACTACCTTCAGTTGTTCTTGCTGAAAGCGTCGGGTACTAAAAAACCCTTAATAAAATGGTACTTGATGGCCATATATTCGGGAGACATGAACGATTGATATAATGTACATATTTGCTGTGAAACATATCTATGAATGTAGGGTTTCCAAAGGCTCTACCTATCTCCCTTATAGACTGAATTATACTGAACGGTAATATACATATTTATATACAATTTCTATAGTGTATGTATATATATCTAAGGGTTACAGGCAAGAAATGCCCTTGAGGACCCTATTAATGGAAAGCAAACAGTGTTATTCTTACAGTTAATGTGCTGTTGGTGGAGGACATATGATACCATGAC